CTAAGCTTCTTTAGACTTGTAGGATTCACGTTCTATCCTTCTATTAGATAACGCATTCTTCCATGATCTTGGGTAGCCGTGCTACCTCCGCGTCCTCCGCTTGGTCTGTAAGCAAGTCCCGCTCCAACTGTACCCTATTGTGGAGCATCCTGGGTGGGGTTACGCTGGTCTAACTGTAGACCGTAACAGAGCTCTAGCAGCAACGTCCCTAGCAATATTCTTATTAAAAAAGTAAAGGCTATTTAGCTATAGATACCTAATTACATTAACCTCTTTGTACTAGAGTTTAGCGTAGGCTAGCTTACTAACTTTAAGTAATGTTATAATATTAAGCTTTATAAGCATTATAGTAAGGCTGCTTTAGTGCTAGCCTAAGCTAAGCAGAAGATAAGGGCTATTAGAACACTGTGTAGAGAGTACACAGAGGAGGATATATTTAATATAGATAAGATAGGCCTATATTAGCAGTAAGCGCTATTATTAGGCCTCTTAACTAGAGCTTAGCCTAGTAAAAAGAAAAACAAGAGCTAGATATTAATTATATGCTGCTGTAACTTTACTAGTAGCTAGCGCTTTACTTTCTAGGCTATTAAAAAGGCAGCTAGGCTACATGCTTTACATTATGTTAACTTTAAGGCTTTAGATGTCTAATAGTTGTTAAATTTAAAAGTGTAGATAAACTATATAGTTATAAAAGACTAGCTATAGGCCTTTTATTAGTAGATTAGGACTAGGACTATTCTACTGCTTATAGATAACTATAGCGCTTATATATTAGAGGTTAATCTAATGCCACCTTTACTAAATATCTAGATTTAATAGCTACTAGCAAATTTTACTAGTATCTATTAGCTACTTAATTAAGGCGTAATTAGTTAATTTAAGCGCTGCTATAAAAAGTAGTAAATACACTATATAGTTTCTAGCTATAAGTAAGGCGCTAATCTAGCTACTAAAGTTAACCTCTACTATGCCCTACGCTAGGCCTCTTAAGCCTAGTATAATAACTTTTATAGTAATACAGTCTATTGCTGCTTCTGCTAAGCTAGAATTTAGCCTACACAGAAACTAATCTGTCTACTTAATCTAGAGGAGTAGCCTTAGCAGGAGCTAGAGAAGCTATATAAACAGGTACAGCACGCTAGCAGGATCTAGAACGCTATAAGTCTTAAGAACTTCCTTAATCTTATTAATAAAAATAATAAGCCTAATTAATCTAACTTTAATATAGTAGACGCTATTATAAAGTACAGCTAGCTGCTAGCTATAGTTAAAAAGGAATTAAAAGATAAAGGGGCTCCTATACAGATACCTACCCTTGCTAAGGCAGAGCAGGCTCTTAAGTTACTACTTTTATATTAAGAACATATAGATAGGACAACTTCTTAGCTGTCACGGTTATGTTACAGCTATCCAACCCCTGAGTACCCTAGGCTTGGCACGGGGTATATAGGCTCCTCGGCCTCCGTACCTCTGCCTCCGACC